CATTCATGATTTTGGTGTAGTTTTCAGCCGCATTTGAAGATGATAGCAACCTTGAAGTCAAGTTGTTAGCGAGGCTCCGATAGAACTGTTTTTCTGGAATACTGGGTATCTTGGATCTTACACAAAGTTTAACATCTTGAAACATCAAATCGTCAATAGCAATTTTAGCTTCCACTGAACGTCTACCCATGTTTTCAACTCGGTTTTCAAACACTTTGATTAACAGTGTTACATCACTGTGGGCTTGGATAAGGTTGAGGCTTGATTTTTGAAGCTGTAAGGACAAATCCGATAACTCTTCTAGAGCATCGAACATCAATGCCAGGTTGCGTACAAAAGTTGTAGAAGATAATGTACTACAAAGCCCTTTGTAAGTTGAACGTTGCTTCGAGTCCCTTTGTTTGTCTTCAGATGCTTCAATGAAATGATTGTACAAAGCTTTAAAATCTGTCCAAACTGCTTTCACCGCCATTAAGCTGGAGGCTACCCAACGAGTATCTAAAACACGGCCGATTTTCAACATTTGCTCCTCTAGTCCTTTAGCAACTTCTGCCAACTCTCTGCTGTTTTTCGGTGAACAACTAAACATGTTTCTAATTTTATCCATGAATATCTTAAAATGATTGATTCCAGCTACTTCTTCTATGGAATCGTGCACGGCAAGCTCTAAACGATGGTTCAAACAATGCCAAATGAACAAGTTGGGGAACGTTTCAGTAAGCTGTATAGCAAGGCCAGATTTCTTGCCTAGTAGCACTGAAGCACCATCACAAGTTAGAGCAATCATATGGTCTTTCATGAATTCAAAGCTTAGACCTAATGCTTGTAACTGATTTAAAAGTTCTTGTAATATACCAGCTGATGTTGTGCTATTTAGCTCAAAAAGTGTTAAGAACACTGTCATAGGGTTTTGCATTCCCTTTAGAACAGTTCTGATATAAACCACCAAAGCATTTTTGTTTGAAACTGAAGTGGCTTCATCCAAAAGCAGGGAAAATTTAGAGTCTGACTTGATTAGGCCATTTATCAAGTCTGATTTCATTTCATCAGAAATATGATGAATTATATTGGAGCAAGCAACATTTGAATGTAGGATTCGCCCCATATCTAAGCCATTCATTATTTGAAAATCAATTTCAGTTTCAAACTCAAAAAATGGCCTATTTAGTTTAGCTTGCTTATAAGCCGTGCGGAAAATGCGCTCAGTTACAATCTGCTGCTCTTTATGCATAGAAGCAACAGCTTTTTTCATTGTATCTTTCTTAGCTTCAATGAGTATTTTTTCAGCCAAAGAATGAGCTCGAGACCCACGGTGTAAAAATATCTTTTTCCTAAGAGAGGATTGCTGGTCTTTTTTATTGTTTCCATAAGCGGTAACAGTTCCTAAAACCCACTCTTCGCTAATCTTTAGGCCCTTCGTTTTCTCTGCACCTAGAGTACTCACACTACGGCAAACGTTGCAACCTAGTTCTCTGTTCACAATTAACCATGGATTTTTAGCTTTAAATTCAACAATTTGTTCTTCAGACCAACAAACTGGCTGTTCACCCCTATTAACAAAATCATTATTTTCATTACTAACCTTAGCTTCGTCTGCATCAGATCCCAAACCCACCGACCTGGATACTATTTTGACCGACGAGGAAGTCGAAGGGGAATGGTAATCGCAATTATCCTCATTGATCCCGATTGCGTCTTCTTTTTTATCTTGATCAACAATTGAAGTTGTAGTCAATGCTTCCGAACTGCAGTTCTCATTATTCGCATAACCTTTTTGTTTCTTAGGGTTAGGTTTAAAGAAATCAACAATTTTTCTGGTAGTCATAGTCAATTAGGAAACTATTTAGCTGCACCAGCACTAATAAGCATAAACACGAACACAATCAACGACCTGCGCCTCAAAAACGAACTTAAGCGTGATGGGATGCGATGCAACTTGTAACTTAAACGCGAAACACACCAAGGTCAAGTCAACTAGTCAACACCATGGACGTATAAATAAAGATGGACTAGGCATGATCTGCACTCTGTTCACCTAAATTTGAAGTCGAAAAGTTTGTAGGCGCGGGGAAAGAGACGAGGTGATAGACTGTGACATATCCTTTTAAGTCAGCGGCGTACCTTTCAATATTTGAAAGTTATTTGAAACAGTTTTTCCACTTGAATAAATAATGACTATTGGTTTGATTGCTTTTATTTTTAGTATCGTAAACATATGAAATATTTTGAATAAGTGAGAAACAACAAACGGTGAATAATTTTAATTTTCAGTGTATAGAAATATATTTATAAAAATTAATTTACACAAAAGAATAAAGATGGAGTAAATAAAATCGTAAATTACTTTATATAATATTTTATTTAAACTAAAATAACACACAAACAATAAAAAGTTTAAAAAATTCTTCCCCACACATTAACCTGTTCAGGGTATTGAGTATGTTCTTCTCTTATCCAGTTAGTGATAAGTTGAAAAAATATAGTAAATTATGGTATATAAGTCACAAAAAGGAAATTATCAACTTGAACGTAAACAATACAACGCCATATTCTTTTTCGTCAAATCGCTAGGATTGGTTGATATTACCAATGATGCCAAGTTTTACAAAAGTTAAGATTATCAGAATATATTTTCTTTTAATAAATTAAAAATTTAATTTTTTTCTTTTAATTCCTTGGTTGCGAAATGAGTATATCTAAAAATAGTTTATACTAAGTAGATAATACATTTTTACTTATAGATTAAAAATAAATTATACTAAAAATCGAAAATTATTTCGAAGATTGACTCTGGAAAAAAAAATAATATGACAACGTCAAATTAGGGATTTGTGCCTATGACTGTGAATATCTCATGACTTTAAGTAAATATGTTAATAGACCGGTCCATCTTTATTTATACGTCCATGGTCAACACACTTGTGATCACTGGGGCGGTGGCGCGGTGAAGGAATGGAGGGGGAAAGGAAGGGGGTGGGGTGGGTATTGCTTTGTTATTGAGTGCGCATCCTAGTGCGCGCAGGCGCGAACTAGGATGACTCGCCCGTCACCTTCCTCCTGCCTGATTCCGTGCAAGACTCATCACAGCACAACTCACAAGTCACACTGCTTACGTACGAGTCACTCGCAAACAAAGCATAGCATAATATTGATCCTACCTACAATTTTTTTTAACTAAAACTTGTAGTTTTAAAAGCGTTCCATTGCGTTCCGGCACTCTTGGGAGGTAAGGGAACGCCGTTGCCTTGCGTTCCCACTGAAATTAACCACTATGAAAATCTATTAGCCGAATGTATGGAACCTCCATTACATTTAAGACGTCTTTTTTTAGCTGAAAAGTTTATCCTTAAATGTCAAAGTAATAACCTTTGCAATAACTATTGCAAAAAATATCCGACATATCTGTGTCTAACTTAGTTGACAAATGGTGGCATAACAAAAATTCTCCAACTTTAGCTATAGCATTTCCTAATGTTTCTTCCTATTTAGAAATTCCAGCTGAAACTAATTTTTTCCAATCTCATTTCAATATTCTTTATTAGCAAACCAAAGTTTATTTCCCTTCTTTTGATGATAACAACGCCATTCAACTTCAGAAACAACTTGACAAATTTGATAAGCCATATAGGATTTTCACAGATGGGTCAAAATCCATTTTGGGAGTTGGTTGTGCGGTATATATCCAAACCAATCAATAATACATTAAGTTTAAATTAAACCAACAATGTTCCATTTATTCCGCAGAACTGTTTGCAATATATCAAGCTTTAGAATGGACTATTGAGAAAATAATGTCTGATCAACAAATAGTAATCATGTCGGATTCAAAATCTGCGCTGTCTGCTTTAGATAATTCGCATAAGCATTTATACAAAAACAGTATCATCGTCAAAATATTAGAAAATCAACTAAAGCTACTTGGAAGAAATAATTCAGTCTCTTTCATTTGGGTAAAAGGACATGCTGGTATCTCGGGTAACACCAAAGCAGATTATTTTGCTAAAGAAGCGGCTTCAAACGGATTAGAAATTAGCTGGCTTATTAAACTACACTGGCTTATTAAAGTAAACAAGAATTACAAGAAAACTGGGAAATTGAATGGAATGCTTTTTGTAACAGAAGTAACAACCTTTACACAAAAATTCACCCTGTTTTACCTACTGCGCCTTTGCTGCAAGAAGTCATCCCAATAGAAGAGTATATTCAATGTTTGTTAGATGCCTTGTTAATCATGCTATTGTGAATGCCTATCTTCATAGATTTAATTTAAGTGAAACCGAACTTTGCGATTGTAATGGTAACACTGACGATATCAATCATTGGATGTTCGGGTGCATATATAATGAAGCTGCTATTAAGTATATATTGGAAAAACTGATAAATGAATAAGTACCTCTTCCTCAGTGTCAATCTTCCATTTTATATATCTGTCGTCATAATATTAGGTTTAACCAAATTTTTTGGGAATATTTAAAAAGGCCTAAAAGAAAAATTTAGGATTGAATGTGTAATGTGAATGTGTAAATCTAGCTTTGTTCCCTCTGTCTATCCTTATGTTATATAGTTACCTTCTAACCGTTGCCTGTCTTGTGTTGTAATAAAGTCGCTATGAAAGGCACCTTAGCCTGAAAAGTATCCCTATATTATGTAATCCCTTGTGGGTCCTAAATATTGTTGGCTAGGACATTGAATGGAACGAATGAATGTAGGTATGGTTTTTTATCAAGCTACTGATTCTTGTGATACTGATGTTTACATTATATTTTTAATTTACCTCTATGCGAAGTACTATTTTGTTAACAAATGCAATAGGTCAATACATCATTAACAAATTCAAGTAGTCAAATACACTATCGTGGCTGAATGGATCAAGTATCCAAAGCCATTAATTAAATAAAAAAAAATAAAAAAAAACAATTATATTTAAAAAAAAACTAAACTTTTAAAAATAATTAAAGTCTTCACAAAAACAGTCTTCTAAATACTCTAAAAAAAATCACCTACTCAGGAGGTAAATCATCATAATATTTATGATAGTCAGATGGAAAAGTCTTTTTGATTTCCTGCAAGTCTTCAAACTTCCGGAGGGAGATTTCACGTCTATTTCGGTGCAATTGCGTTAAATGACTAGTCTTACAAGTATGGAGTTGTGAAGATATTGTTTGTGGTAAAGGTTGCCATTTATCCTTATAAAAAGTTTTATAGAGAATGGATCCATTACTTTCATAACTTAGAGCTCGAATGTCGGTTACCTTAGGATCTCCTTTAGAACTTCCTGGGCGAATGCTTTTAAAAAATTGTATTTCTTCAAATTTTTTAAAGAAAGTGTGTTCCAAATATTTTACAACATATGGGACTGGTAATTTTCGGGAATTTTTAACAATAGAAATGTATTCAGCTGGCACGTTTATCATTTTATTTTTAAGCTGACGTTCTAACGTGGAATGCATAGAATCCACCTCCATTTGGGTGTGACCTACTTCTAAAAATTTTTGTTCAATAGTTAAATTTATATGCTTTAACACAATATTTAAAAGTGTATTGGATAAAATACAATTTCGATTTTGGTATGTACACCCATCACTATAAAGTATAATTGTTATATTTGTATCGTTAGCAATATTAGATATTACATTGTTTTCTACCCAAATGGAAACAAATTCTTCTTCAGCATTAAGTCCGCCTTCTACTTCATTCCAAATAAAACAGTTGCTTTCTTTGTTTTTGAAATTAAAAAATCAAAGATTGTGAACTTGCAGCTTAGTGTTGTAATACAGTGTACTAACATTCGATTTAGGTGCCATTAACACTGCTTGCAAATCAACGGCAAAGACATAGTTTTCTCCCTTCTTGTCTTTATCTTTTTCTACTCTGGCTTGGTTCACTTTCTCAATATGGTCTCTGTGTTGTTCTTCTGTAATTGTCGCTACTTTATAACAGCATTTCTCGCACTAGTCTTTTTTAGGTCTGAATAGTGCAAAAATTTTGCCTGCAAATTCATTTGAAAACAAGGCTATGGAAAGAAGTTTTATATTTCGGTTTTTGCACGAATTGTTAACGTAAAACTGATCAAGACTTTCTTTCGATTTCCATTCTGGCTATAAATATAACTTTTGAGATGTTGCTCGACAATAATGAGCTTCCATTACAGGAAGAGAATCCAAAAATTGAAATAATGATTGTTTGGGTTGCGAAGCCACCGATTTAGATGGTTGATTATGACGCCTCAATATACTAGGAGGCTGCATTGTGAAGTCCTTTTTCCAGGTTTGTACGGTCCACCTTTCTAGATCTAAAGTGTTCAAAAACATCGTTCGACATACCTTAACGTTTTCATTATTAACTTTTAAATAATAAATAAATGTATTAGCTCTCTTTGTTACCTCTTTTGTGTCTTATTTCGTGGTCGCATTGTCCCGAGGGTTTTTTCTCCCAAAGTAAAACTACAAAATTGTTTAAAAATATTTTTTATTAAATTTTCATCTAGGGTTTCACATTTTAAAGTACTGTACTTTCCGATTTTACAAGTGCATCTTAGTTTGATGGAATAAGCCTCTTTTGGTTTCATGTAATTATAGTAGTCTTCTTTCTTCCATAATAGCTTGTACCACATTATCTTCTGTCCTTATTCTTTTCCGAAAACCATTCTTTTTTTATTGACTTGAAACCGTGTCTTTTGTTTATTACTTTTTCTTATTTCAGAAAGCAAGTCTGAGTCAGAATCAGAATAAGGGACAAGTTTATGTTCTGTATCACTATCATCTGATATAGGTGGATTGAATACAACTTGATGACTGGAATTAACAAGAGGTAGTATGCTTCCATTCGGAGCGTGAATATTGTCTATAATGCTTGGCGTTTCATCTGGAGTATTAGAAATAGCTTGAAGTAAATATTGGTTCGGTTCATGATTTATTATGTCGAATGATTGAGTGGCTGAACTATTTATGTCCTTTGAAATTAAAATATTAGCGATTTGGAAGTCTTTTTCAATTTGTGATGGTAGTATAATCAAATGATTTTCACTCGTAACTGGATGAATGTATTCTTTTTCAATTTGAGACGGTATTATAATCAAATTATTTTCACTAGTAACTGAAGTAATGTCAATATTATAAACTGAGCTTGTACAGCTAGGGTGAGGAATGAATTACGGTACAATAGCCCCGATTGTCGCGGTATTGCAGTTTAATAGTCCAGCCAATCAGCAGTTTCGACACATATTTCAGACAGGTCGTCATCAATTAATTTCTTATAAATACTGTAAATTTATATTTTAAAGTCAATTGTAATTATATTAAGTAAAGTACTGTTACTCTGTTAGTTATACACTTAAAAGGGCCTTTTAAAAAGTACCTTCGGGAGTGACAACCCTTAAGTGGCGCATTCAGTGGGTTAGTGGGAGTCTCCAGAAGATCCTCGTCGTTTTCAAACGTTTACCCGCTACCGAACCCAAATTCAGGGAAAACTGCAGCTGTTTAACCCACGGATTGCAGGCAAATTGGCACATCAACATATTTATGCAGATAGCTGAAAAGAAACTCAAAGAAGAAAAGGAACTTGTACCACAAAGGATGCATCCAGCATCATCCTACCTGTAAGCAAATTTCATCTTATTTCTAATTCTTATATTATTTCACAATTATCATCCTTTAGAATAAGCGGTTTTCTTTTAACAATTTTTGAATCTACTATAGAATTTAGTGAAAATATTAAACCAGATTTACATTTAGTTGATCATAATATTATTTTTAAGTCCAAAAATTCGTTTGAAATACCCTCTATAATTATTACACCAGCATCCATTTCAAATAACTCTAATATGGCACCTATTTTTGATGTTAATAAAGACCTTTCTATCGTACCAGAGTACGACGGCAATCCAAATGAACTCCACAATGTTATTGATGTTATTTCCATGCTTCTAAACCATTTCTGGGTTTACAACATACAAATCCCGAAAATTTTCAAAATCACATGCTTATCCGAGGAATTTTGAACAAAAATCATATCTTCTAGAAACGGTTCAAGAAAGAGACACTTAGTTAGACAGTTTGGCAAACCAACATATTCTACCTCAGTACTAGAAATTGCTACAACTGACTGTTTCTTTGATTCCCAGAAAATAATATTACTGTTAAAATTCAAGACAAATCCACTTACACTGTTCCGATCAATAATATTGTAAGCAAAATCAGAGTCTACAAAAGCATCAATACTTATGACAGTGTTATTAGATTTTACATATCTTGGAACAAAATTCTCAGTTTTCTTTAAATATCTCAAAACATTTTTTAAGTGATGCCAATGGTTGGTACCAAAACAGTTTTGAAATTTACTAAAATACATTACTGTAAAACATAAATGTGGTCTTGTTCCTAACATAATGTACATAAGTGATCCAATAAGTTGTTTATAAGGCACAATAGGGAGATTCTCATTTTTATTGTAATTTAATTTTGGTTGAATAGCCAGATCCAAGGGTTTACAATAATTCATATTAAATCGGTTTAAAACTTTTCCAGTTAAATTTTTCTGTGAAATTATGAAATTAATAAAAAATTACCTTTCTTTTCAATTTCAATACCCAGAAACACATTTTTATTTGAATTATTAGTTAAATCTTTCATTTCAAATTCTGATGATAATTGCTCTTTTATGTTATTTACATCGATGACATTAGATATTATTATTAAATGATCCACCCAAATTAGTAAGTAAGTATTACATTTTATATATAGACAGAGATCTACAATAGATCTTCTGAAATTATTATCAAGTAAAAATAAATGTAACCGATCATACCAACACTTAGGGCTTTGTTTTAATCTATATAAAGGTTTCCCGAGTTGACACACATAACCTTGCTTAACTTGTAAAAGTCCAAGAGGTAGTTGAATATAAACAGGATCCTTCACTTCTCCATTTAGAAAAGCAGACTTCACATCCATTTGATGTATTTCTGAATCTGTTTTAAAAGCTAATATAATAATAATACAAAGGAATACTTTCACTTTAGGCTAGCTGTATTCAAAAGAATGCAGGTTTTGTATTTAATTGAATGGGGGACTTATAAAGCATGGCTGGTTGGTCCAAAATTTGTTTATGGTCAACGATTTTTTTTTTACAAGTTGATAATTAAACACATTTTGTTAAAAATAAAATATAATTAATTTAAATAAAAAAATAAAACATTTCTTCTTAATAGCTATTGATACAAACTCTTTTGAATGTTATTACATTAATAATTCGGATTTATGAGAAATAAAAAAACATTTGAGACAATAAAAATTTTTACAAACACTACATTTGTGGCAAGTTTGGGAAGATTTGGCTTGGGCATATTTCCAATCGTGGCTATTTGTTAGCCTTTCATAGCAAGCCATACATATTCTTTTCATAGTATCATCCACTAAAATATGATTTTCGTTGATGTTATTAGGTGGAGGAGGTCTTGTAAAAGTTTCGTCCAAAAGCTGAGTGACAACTTGTTCTTTGAATTTGGTGATGGACATTTTTTTCTTCGTTACCGTCTGATGTACACAATACGCATTTATTAGCGTAGTTCCTGTTAGTAATTCTACTGCTAATTTTCGATACCATTTGATCCCTTTTCGTAAACTAGTAGAATATTCCTTCAACTGATCAGAAAGATCTATAAAGGCTTTACATTTATTGTACTCTAAAATTATTATGGGTTTTTCTATTTCCTCGCCACGTCTTCTTAGAGGAGCCATTGCATTGCTGTGTTTTGTTGAAATAACCAAGACATCTTTTTTGTCCTTCCATTTCAAAACAGTACAACCTGTGTTGCTTTGTAAACTCGTAGATTGATACTTCTCTAACTTTGCTTTCACAACTTCGGGAGGATTATTTTTTCTGTTTGAACGTAACGTCCCCACTAAATGTGTTTTTCTCTTTTGAAGCTCGTGGGCTAAAGAAACGCTACTATAAAAATTGTCTGTGTAAACAGTCCGCCCCTTGTCAAGTAAATTTTCTGACAGTTCCAAAACAGTGTTAGTGGCCCCGGAAATATTTTTATTGCTAGTTTTATCTTTGCCACAATATATTTTCAGGTTATATGTATAACCACCTTGAAGACACAATTTGTACAATTTTATTCCAAATCTGTGCCGTTTATTAGGAATATATTGCTTGAAGCTTAGACGTCCACGAAAGGGAACTAGTGTTTCATCAATACAATAATTTTCTTCTGGTACATAGGCGTATTGAAAACGTTCTAGCAGCATATTTATCAAGGGCGTGATCTTATATAGTCTATCATCTTTTGGAGGATTAGAGTTGTCACAAAAATGCCATGTTCTTACTAGTATTTCAAATCTGTTTCTCGATAAAAGAGAGTTTATCTTATTTGTGTATATGTTATTTTTCGACCAATAATCTCTGACTTGAGGTAACCGGACAATTCCCATCCACAATAATGCTGCCAAAAAAAGTTTCATTTCGTCATAAGTGGTATTATACCAACTTTTTATACGAGCATGGGGTAAAGTATTAGCCTGAGACTTCATAGATTGGGCGTATCTGTTTGTTTCAGTTACCATATAGTTTATAATGTCATCAGTTATGAAAATTTTATAAAAATCCAGTTCTCTTTTTTCTTTGAAGTTGGCCAGTATATCTTCAGTTACGCCTGGATTTGTTTCGGAAAAGTCAAATATTTTTAGCCTCGATAACGTAAACTTATCCCAAGAAAGTGCATTTATTTCGTGGCTTTCATTATCTGATTCATCATTTTCTGTATCAGTACTTTCGATATCGTCTAGATTTCCTAACCTTATTACATTTTCTATGGTCTCCATTATATGTGCATTGGAATCTAAAAAATACAGATAAATAATAACAATAATATACAGACAGTTAGAGACGTACTAGAACTAGAGTTCCCGTTAGTAGATTTCTGGTCCGATAGTTCATCTTCTACTTGATGGGCAATATTTCTGGAAGTAGAGGGTACATTGCACGATTGTTCAAGCTTTCCAACTTTTGTTGTGTCATTGATATACTTATCGGAAGCTAAAATATGCATATTATTTAGTTACTAATAAAAAAAGATAAAGTAGGGTTAGAGAACTTACCGGAAAAAACATTCAAATCGGTATTTTCCATATTTATCTTCTTTTGGTTTTTAGTAGACCTCATGAGCTTCCTTTTCTTGACAGGAATATCCTCATCACTTGAACTCTCATTCTTTGACTCGTTTTTTTCATACTCCGACTCACTTGCACTAAAAGCTTCCTCCTCGTCCGAAAAGTCTATTGTGTCCATCATTTTTTGCAAAAATTCTAGCTCTTTTTCATCTGACTTTTTCATTTTCACTTACTAATAACACTCTTATAACAATATAATATGCACACTAAAGACAAGGCACTTCGCAACTGCGTTTACAATACTCGCGACCAACAAAATCCGACAGGAATAAACGTGTTTGTAACGCTGAATCACGATAACGCAATATAATATGCACACAACACAAGGCACTTCGCAAATGTATATACAATATTCTCGACCAACAAAATCTGATACGAACAAAAGTGTTTATAACGCTGAATTAAAATCGATACAAGTGGCCAACATCGTCAATTTATGAAAATGGGCCACTTGTATCCATTTCGATACAATTTTTTTATGACAAAATAACATTATAACATAAAAATTATAAAAGATACAGTTAAGTAGGGCATTTTTGATACATATTTATGAATTTTTCACAGTGGCCCCCAGAACTGTATTTTTTTTAACATGGTGGCGCTTAATGTGTTAAAGGTCCTTTGAAGAACCAGGTAAATTTAAGTCGTTTTTCTTTTGTCTGGTAAGAACGTTGAATCTGCTCTCCAGATCCTTTAAATTATCCGTCTACAAAATATTTTTATTTCTTTTACCTATCGCTAATATAAGCTTGACTTTATGGCTCTTGCTCTGCGCTATCTGCTGGTTCATGGATTAAGTGGGGTGCTGCTGCCTAATGCTGCCTCTAGTCGTCTTGGTTGAGGGGCATTTCTTGTTATGCGATTATTGCGATAATCCACAAAAATATTTTGGTTTTCCCATTCCATTCTCGGTAATTGATGCGGTCCATTTCCATGTGTTGCAATTTTTCTGGACGGTCCTGGTAACACGGGATACGGAACTAACGCAACCCCACCACACTCTAGTTGTTATTCTAAGGAAATTACTACCCTTGTTGCACTATCCAGCATATATATTGTATATTACCCAGCATAAGGCCCAAGTATTTGACATTCACAAGGAATCTGCGTTCCTGTAGTTGGCTGTATACCATGTATTAAAAATTTAATTAAAAATCCTTTGTAATAGGTATATATTTAATAAAATCTATGTAATTTAGCTTTCCATAATTGTTACAAATCTCCTTCTTCAAAATGTTTTGTTGAAAGTTGTTCTTCAAGTTAATAGGAACATTTCCTGGTGTTTTAATTTTACAAAATGTGGGGAAGACCTGGATGTTTGTGCATTGAGAGATGAACCATATATCCAGCTTCAGGGTGCATCTTTTAGTGGCTAAGCGCATGTACTGAGAAGCCAAGTTGACCATACCGTCAGATAAAATTCACAAGGAATCTACGTTCCTGTAGTTGGCTGTATACCATGTATTAAAAATTTAATTAAAAATCCTTTGTAATAGGTATATATTTAAATCTAATAGGTATATATTTAACATGGTTTCGTTTTTTTTTATATAAAATGTAATAATTAATAAAAAATAAAGATTTAACTTACGTTGTTGGTCCAGAAGTACTAGTTAGAAGTTGCTCCACAATCCTTTTAGACTCTCTATGTTCAGCTCGTTGTACCCGTTTTTTTTGGATGGTTAAAAGGGTAGCCGATTTAGATTTAGGCAAATATAGCGTAGGTACTGCCTCAGGTTTAAGTTTTGGACCCTTTTTAGACTCATAATTTACCAGCTCCTGTTGTAGATTTCGTTGGAAATGTTCAGTTTTGAACTGTTTTGAACAAATTCTTGCCGTATTGCAATTAAAATTATTCTTTCTACAACAAGATATTATGCACAATTTCCTGTCCACACTATCTTTAGGAAACGTATAAAACCTTAAGGTCGCCGAACATTTAAATGTCCTTTGAAGAACCAGGTAAATTTAAGTCGTTTTTCTTTTGTCTGGTAAGAACGTTGAATTTTCCCTCCAGATCCTTTAAATTATCCGTCTACAAAATATTTTTATTTCTTCTACCTATCGCTAATATAAGCTTGAATTTATGGCTCTTGCTCTGCGCTATCTGCTGGTTCATGGATTAAGTGGGGTTCTGCTGCCTAATGCTGCCTCTACTCGTCTTGGTTGAGGGGCAATTCTTGTTATGCGATTATTGCGATAATCCACAAAAATATTTTGGTTTTCCCATTCTATTCTCGGTAGTTGATGCGGTCCATTTCCATGTGTTGCAATTCTCCTGGACGGTCCTGGTAACACGGGATACGGAACTAACGCAACCCCACCACACTCTAGTTGTTATTCTAAGGAAATTACTACCCTTGTTGCAACTATCCAGCATATATGTTGTATATTATCCAGCATAAGGCTCAACTATTTGACATGGTTTCGTTTTTTTTTTATAAAATGTAATAATTAATAAAAAATAAAGATTTAACTTACGTTGTTGGTCCAGAAGTACTAGTTAGAAGTTGCTCAACAATCTTTTTCTACTCTCTATGTTCAGCTCGTTGTACCCATTTGTTTTGGATGGCTGAAGGGGTAGCCGATTTAGATTTAGGCAAATAAAGCGTAGGTACTGCCTCAGGTTTAAGTTTTGGACACTTTTTAGACCAATAATTTACCAGCTCCTGTTGTAGATTTCGTTGGAAATGTTCAGTTTTGAAATATTTTGAACAAATTCTTGCAGTATTGCAATTAAAATTATCCTTTCTACAACAAGATATTATGCACAATTTCCTGTCCACACTATCTTTAGGAAACGTATAAAACCTTAAGGTCGCCGAACATTTAAGTGTTCTTTGAACATACAGGTAAATTTAACTCATTTTTCTTTTGTCTGGTAAGAACGTTGAATCTGCTCTAAAGATACTTTAAATTATCCGTCTACACAATATTTTTATTTCTTTTACCTATCGCTAATATAAGCTTGAATTTATGGCTCTTGCTCTGCGCTATCTGCTGGTTCATGGATTAAGTGGGGTTCTGCTGCCTAATGCTGCCTCTAGTCGTCTTGGTTGTGCGATTATTGCGATAATCCACAAAAATATTTTGGTCTTCCCATTCCATTCTCGGTAGTTGATGCGGTCCATTTCCATGTGTTACAATTCTCCTGGACGGTCCTGGTAACACGGGATACGGAACTAACGCAACCCCACCACACTCTAGTTGTTATTCTAAGGAAATTACTACCCTTGTTGCAACTATCCAGCATATATATTGTATATTATCCAGCATAAGGCCCAAGTATTTGACATGGTTTCGTTTTTTCTTTATAAAATGTAATAATTAATAAAAAATAAAGATTCAACTTACGTTGTTGGTCCAGAAGTACTAGTTAGAAGTTGCTCAACAATCTTTTTAGACTCTCTATGTTCAGCTCGTTGTACACGTTTTTTTTTTTGATGGTTGAAAGGGTAGCTGATTTAGATTTAGGCAAATAAAGCGTAGGTACTGCCTCAGGTTTAAGTTTTGGACCCTTTTTAGACTCATAATTTACCAGCTCCTGTTGTAGATTTCGTTGGAAATGTTCAGTTTTGAACTGTTTTGAACAAATTCTTGCAGTATTGCAACTAAAATTATCCTTTCTACAACAAGATATTATGCACAGTTTCCTGTCCACACTATCTTTAGGAAACGTATAAAACCTTAAGGTCGCCGAACATTTAAAGGACCCTTGAAGAACCAGGTAAATTTAAGTCGTTTTTCTTTTGTCTGGTAAGAACGTTGAATCTGCTCTCCAGATCCTTTAAATTATCCGTCTACAAAATATTTTTATTTCTTTTACCTATCGCTAATGCTGCCTCTAGTCGTCTTGATTGAGGGGCATTTCTTGTTATGCGATTATTGCGATAATCCACAAAAATATTTTGGTTTTCCCATTCCATTCTCGGTAATTGATGCGGTCCATTTCCATGTGTTGCAATTCTCCTGGACGGTCCTGGTAACACGGGATACGGAACTAACGCAACCCCACCACACTCTAGTTGTTATTCTAAGCAAATTACTACCCTTGTTGCAACTATCCAGCATATATATTTTATATTATCCAGCATAAGGCCCAAGTATTTGACATGGTTTCGTTTTTTTTTATAAAATGTAATAATTAATAAAAAATAAAGATTTAACTTACGTTGTTGGTCCAGAAGTACTAGTTAGAAGTTGCTCAACAATCTTTTTCTACTCTCTATGTTCAGCTCGTTGTACCCATTTTTTTTGGATGGCTGAAAGGGTAGCCGATTTAGATTTAGGCAAATAAAGCGTAGGTACTGCCTCAGGTTTAAGTTTTGGACACTTTTTAGACTAATAATTTACCAGCTCCTGTTGTAGATTTCGTTGGAAATGTTCAGTTTTGAAATATTTTGAACAAATTCTTGCAGTATTGCAATTAAAATTATCCTTTCTACAACAAGATATTATGCACAATTTCCTGTCCACACTATCTTTAGGAAACGTATAAAACCTTAAGGTCGATGAACATTTAAGTGTCCTTTGAACAACCAGGTAAATTTAAGTCATTTTTCTTTTGTCTGGTAAGAACGTTGAATCTGCGCTCCAGATACTTTAAATTATCCGTCTACAAAATATTTTTATTTCTTTTACCTATCGCTAATATAAGCTTGAATTTATGGCTCTTGCTCTGCGCTATCTGCTGGTTCATGGATTAAGTGGGGTTCTGCTGCCTAATGCTGCCTCTAGTCGTCTTGGTTGAGGGGCAATTCTTGTTATGCGATTATTACGATAATCCACAAAAATATTTTGGTTTTCCCATTCCATTCTCGGTAATTGATGCGGTCCATTTCCATGTGTTGCAATTCTCCTGGACGGTCCTGGTAACACGGGATACAGAACTAACGCAACCCCACCACACTTTAGTTGTTATTTCAAGGAAACTATTACCCTTGTTGCATCTATCCAGAATATATTGTATATTATCCAGCATAAGGCCCAAGTATTTGACATGGTTTCGTTTTTTTTTATAAAATGTAATAATAAAAAATATAGATTTAACTTACGTTGTTGGTCCAGAAGTACTATTTAGAAGTTGCTCAACAATCTTTTTAGACTCTCTATGTTCAGCTCGTTGTACCCGTTTTTTTTGGATGGTTGAAAAGGTAGCCGATT